CTCCCCACCGATCATGAATGGGAGTGGGTGCATGAAGTGATCTGGACTGGATTGTCGTACTATGGGGAAGTATGAGAATTCTGGCAAGCAGGTGGTGACTACATTGAAAAGTGCCTCCACGCTCAGACAGTGGAAGCTTAGTATGAACTGGCACCCTGGATGAAACCAAACAAAATTACTCTACCCAGATTCATCCACCTGCCTGGAATCAATAGGGTAGTATATGTCAAACAGGAGGATTCCAAACAAGTGTGCTGGTTCTTTTACCAGACCGGCCACACAATGGTTCAATGCCACCATCATAAAGGTAAAACTACATGGGAGTACAAATATGACCCCATTGGGGGAATCACCAAGGTGGGTACCAAGACTTTCCTCCGCCCAAGAGCTAGAGAAAGGATCCCACGCAGCTTATTGGAGGTAGTGGATATTTAAATGCCAGCGACAAGAGTTGGACCTGGCACATAGAGAAGCCTGGGAATGGGAAACAGCAAAGCGACCCAAAGCAGATGATGAATCGTTTATAAATCCAAACCCCAAATCTTATGCAATGGATGGGGGAACTGACCCCAAACCAACAGAGAAACGTCCAACCCAAGTGGAATGGATGGTCTGGGAGGAGGAAAGATGGCAGAAGGCAAACCCAAAGAAGTCCCCCAAGCAAGGGTGGACGCAGGATCCTAGCAAGTCAGAATCAAACCCTGACAAGATGAAAGGGAATACAAAATTGAAATGGAAGTCATTGGCAAATAAACCTGAGGCGACCAGTGAAAAATTAGCAGGAGCGACAAAATTGACAAAATTGGTTGGGCAATCACCGACTAAAAAATTGAGTTCTGCCGGTAAATCAAATGAAGGGGCACAAATCTGGCTAATGGATGAGGGAGAATCTGCCAGTCCACCATCAGGGAACAAGGGGCACCCAGACCCAATCATAAAACCATCCCCATTAACCATTGACAGGGAGATGGGGATGGCGACTAATTACCAGTACACAGGATGCCTGGGAATATAATCCCAGTCCCAACCAACTGACCCCAAAAACCAAATATTGCACCCCACCAACCATAGATACCACCACCATTGACCAACCAGACCTCAATATGGGACTCGATACACAACCCAGACAATGCTAAACCTCATACCCATGAGTCAGGCAGCTGGAACTGAGGATTGTGACTACAAATTCTTTGGGGATGGCGAGCATACAAACAAGGAGAAGGAAAATGCACCATTTAAAAACCAATAATAATATTGACCTAATTTATATTTCAGAAACACAAGCTGGTAACCAAAAGGAAATGGTGCTGAGCTCAAACCACAATGCAAAAACCACCCGTGGTCCCACCAGATAGGCTACCAAGCTCTATGGATGGACCATGTGGCAATAGTCGCAATGGATAAGAAAATAGACTTGGAATTCATGGAAGAAACTCACGCTGGTAGGATCTTGATAGTGACAGCTACAAACAGAGACACTGGCAGGAGCATACAAGTAGAGCAAGCTACACCCCGATAAAGCTCCACAAAAACCTTATTTTTTGGGATTTATTAGTGGAAGTACCATCTAAAGCGATGAACATAATAGTAGGCGACCTGAACTGTTGGATGAATGTGAGCTGGGATACATACCCGACAAGAGAACATCCCAACAGTAAAGCCAACGAGATGCTCAATTACCTAGTCAAATTGGGGATATGCCTAACAATTGACAAAGAGGATGATGACCCGGCCAATCTAACATGGTGGTCATACAACGCCACCAGATCCCCACTGTCAGGATCACATTTAGATTACATCCTCATATCATTGGACCTCAGGACAATGACATCCAACAGCAAGGTTAGCATAAATGCTGAAAGTGACCACATGGTCATCCAGGTGGAGATCGACCTTGATAAACCTCCGAGGAATCATGAGTGGCAACTGGCACCAGCCACGCTGAGGAACAGGGATTGGCGCCGAATGGTTGACGTGGGACTGGATCAACTGGTAGCACATCTGGACAACTGCCCAGAGTTGGACCTGCTAGAAAAGTGGACCCAAATCAAAGCGAAAATGAAACATTTTAGTATGAAGTTTGAAAAAGTGCCTCCTACAAGCGGACAGCTGCTGTGAAGCAACTGAAGTCTAAATTAGAAAGGCTGAGGCTCACCCGCTGGGACAGCAAAGACTGGTGGAGCAGTACCAAACAACACACAAAAAGTATTGGGCCATAATGATGAAGCAAGACTCAGAGAGATGGACCAATGCAACTACCAATATCAGATCCTAGCGGGGATGATGACCAAAGAGGGCCTGAAACACCTCAAGGAAATCTGAACTAAGGCTAGGGTATGGGAAGTGGAGACAGCGGAAGGGAACTTATCATCAGACCCTGAAACAATCAAGTGTAAGGTTGAACTTTTTTATGGCAATATCTTCTGACAAAAAGAAATGAGCGAATCAGCAACAAAAACCCTTATTGACCTGTCCAAGCCAGCACTGGGTGGCTGTACACCAGAAGACATTGCCAAGCTATCAACCAAAATCTCTATCAATGAAGTTAAGAGGGCTTTAAAGGAGTCACCAAGAATGAAAGCACCAGACCCTGACAATATGTGTGCAGAAATATACAGCATATTCTGAGACTGCATTGTGCCAGAGCTCAAAGCCCTCTTTAACCACTGTTTGCACAATGGCAAACAAATTCTGGGAGGCCATGAGACCCAAATTGTACTTCTGTACAAAAAAGGCCTCAGACGCCAACTTCAGAACTGGTGCCCAATTGCACTATCAAATGACAATTATAAACTGCTCACGCGCATCCTATCTAACCATCCGATGGCAACAGCACCGCGCATGCTCCATAGTGCCAAGCACGGCTTCATCAAAGGCCATAGTATATTGGACAGCATTGGTTCAGTCCAGAGCATACTCCATGATACAAGGGGCATCAAACAATGATACCTTATGTTCCTTGACATGGAAAAGGTGTATGACCGAGTAGCATGGTCATTCCTAAATGAGGCACTAAAGGCGGTCAGCATCCCTGACATGTTTTGAGCATAATAACAATGCTGTACTCAGGCCTGGTAATGAAGGTTATGGTCACAGATGCACAACCAACGAAAATCATTTTGGGCAAGGTCTCCACCAAGGTGACCCTATGTCACCAATACTCTTCAACTTTGCAGCCAACATTCTACTGGCAGCAGCGAATGCGAAGCTCCAGGGTTTATTCCACCCTAACCAAATGCCACTGAAGATGCTAGCATTTGCGGATGATACAGTAGTAGGAATAAGCTCCTTGACTGACCTCCAGGGCGCTGAGGAGCTATTAAACCTCTATCAGCTTGCATCAAACACAAAATTCAATTTGGCAAAAACCTCAGTGATGAGGATCAGCAACCTGAGCTTCAGCCCACCAACTGACACAACGCTGATTATGAGTTCCAGACAGTCTGATACCTCAGGATACTCTTCAATGACAAGGGACCAGTGGTACTGGAGACCAAAAAAGAAGTATTGTCAAGCTTATCAATCTGAATGGCATGCTAGAAAAGTGCCAGACTATGCCTCGAGGAGAAAGTGCAGGCGATAAACATCTTCATCTTCTCAAAGTTGTGGTATGTTGCTCACATGCTGCCAATGAGCCTAAACTTAGAGAAGAAAATCAGGTCAATGCTCCAAACTTTCCTGTGATTTAAGGCAAAGGCAGCACCAATACCACTGGAAGCCCTGTCAAAACCAAAGAATGAAGGAGGCATGAGCCTCCTGGACTTCAAATCTCATGCCCAGCACATATGGGGGAAGTCATTTATGAAGCTAACACAGATGCACATGCACTGCCCAACCCTAGCATGGGGCGTGAACTGGGCAAGAGCCCAAGGCCTCCAAGAGCCAGTCTCCTCCTGATTGATACATGAATGGATGGCAAACCACCCGCAGATAACCTCCTGAAAAGGTGCCCCACACTATTGGTGACTATGCAATCAGGCTGTGCGCCAGGGCGGGTGGTCATTTGAGCAATTGGACTGAGAGGCCAGCCAAATTCAGAGGGACGTCAAAGCACATAATTCCGCAATGATTTCTAAAACAAGCTGGGAGGAGCGTAACCAAATCACCAATGAATATGCAACTAAGTCAATCAGAATGAGGTACAAATTGATGCTGATAGAATATGGGGATCCAGGCCCAAAACTGTGGTGCAATCCGCCCACCCATCCATGAATCCTAAATGACTGGACTACCAAAGGCCACGACACCAACTACCTGACTAAGGAGTTGATTTTGGGCCTGAACTCCCACTTGGTTATGGCCAAACAGCGTTCGGTAACCTGGTGGATCCTAAATCAGGCATTCAAATTGGGCAAGCACAGCGGGCTGGATTACCAGCACAAAGAATGCACCATATGCACCAAACTGGAAGCAGACATAGCACACCATTATTATGAATGCGCCATGTTCAAAAAATACTGGTCCACAATGCATTACATCCTATCAGGCGAACATTCACCACTGGGTATACATCCATTGCAGGACCTTTTCTTTATGAAAACCCTGAGAACAGCTCTGATCCAACTATGAGCCTTAATTTACCATTATTGTGTATGGGTAATTCACTGTGCGCTTGTCACCAAGGTTTTGAGCAATGAGTGCCCCCATCACAGAGGTTTGGATTTGAAGACCATTCAGATTATCTCTGATCAGCTCCATCGGATCTCAAAAAACTTGTGCATAATCCCTGAGTGTTATAAAGCCACACGTTTGGCTTTCCCCGCTGGATTGCTCATTGCATGCAATAAAGCTACTAATCAACTGAGAATCAGATGGCCTGTAATCCCGCCAATGCTAGAACTGTGGCTAGTGATGGTGATCACCAATCAGCAATGGTCAGAGGTGCTAGATCTCTAGCAGCCTGCAACTCCAGTCCTTTTTACCCTTGGCTGAATCACCTGTATTCCGCCCTCCCATCTTACTTTCCCATAAATTTCTATCTTAATAAAGTATGGAGTAAAAAATTGTTGGTTTAGTGGTATAATGGCCACCTGCCATGCGGTCAACCTGGGTTTGATTCCCGGACAATGCACAATTATTAAATTTGATCATTTTTTTAAAATGTAGTAATATAAACAGATATTATTTACCTATAAACCATATTTAAAAGACAAATTTGACATGATTTTTTCAATATTTTTTAATAAAAAATTTTGTACACCAGTTAGACTTCTTATAGGAATTCCAACACCATGATTAAGTATTTTTTTCCAATTTATAGAAATTAGATCTTTTCTTTCTTGGCTAAAAACATTAAGATATGTCTTACTCTTTTGATCTTTCATTATTGAAACTTTACCTTATGACAAGGCTCTATAACAAATTAATGAATGTATGTGTATGAATACAGTCTTTATGTAGTGTCTACTTTTGCTGTAGTTTTTAAAGTTTGTATCACCACTTACAAACTCAGTATTTACAGACCCTTTTAAGATTACATTATACAAATAAGTGGTAAATTTCTACTTCAGGCATCTTCTGAATTTTAATGTTTTTGGCAGTAACTTTCTGTACAGCAACTCTATTTATAACATAATATGGAAAAGCTATTGTAACAAAAATTTGGTTCTTAATATTTTTGCTAAACATTCTCTTCTGATAGTTAGGTTTGAGTTTACCAAAATTCAGAACCAACTAAAATTACATATAGTAAACCTCAAAGTAAAGGCTTGTATATTATTCAACATATGTTATTCCTCTACTGCAAGTCATTACTTTAGCATTTCCTTCAGGGAGGATCACTTTTTTATCTAAATCTTGCAAAATTTAATATATAGGCATCATTATATTACAGTTTAGATGTCTTATGTATCCACTAATGATGATGGTAAGTATCTCATAATCCTAACATACCAGCTGAGAATATCCTCCACCTATGAAAGTTATTAATAAACCTTCACTAATTTATTATCTGCTTTGATTATCTCCTCATCCAAAACTCTTACTGAACCAAAATAAATAAATTTTAGTGCAGTTCTTTTCCATAGCTAAATGGGTGATATGAAGTCAGCCAACATTGGCTTTTTTATAAATATGTAATCTTCACTTTTGCATATGATCACTTAATCAAACTGTTGATATAGGATTTCCAGGCCAATTTGCATTCATTATAAGCCAATTCATAGTTAATTTATTATTTTTGCACTCTTGTTTTATTCAAGCACCTTCTTATATCCCATGATGTTTAAATTCTGAAATCACTAAGCATTAAATTTTAATTCTATTTGATTCTTATTTTTTCTGGTCATAATTAAGCATTAATTTTTTTATGTTTATTAGAGTTAATGGTAAATCATGAATTGGATTGTACTTAATTTGAAAAACAATGAAAAACATATGAATTAATTTATATTAATGTAAAAATAAACATAATTTTTTGGGAAAAAGGACTGCCTTCAAAAAGACATTAAAAAGCTAAAATAATTGAGAAAGTGTGAATAATTAATATTTTTTGAAGTTTTTGCCACATTTTATAATGACTTATAATAGCAATTTATAATATATACTCAGCACTATATATTCTCAGTTGTTTAAAGTTTCAACATGGAATAAATCCAATATAAGTTTTAATTTATATTTGTGAGAAAATACTATAAAGCATTTTAAAACACAGCGCAGACTTCAAAACGATTTTTATTGATTATATATATTTTATCAATTATTTTATACTTTTTAGTGCCTTTTTTGAAGGCAGTTCTTTTCCCTAAAATGTTTAACGCAATTCTCAAAGGTTGGTTCTTTTATACCATTTATTTCTTAACTCACTATCTCTATGTTTTTTGAAACTAACTATTTCTATATAAAATTAATAATCATTGTATATATTATATAATATCTTGTAAACAAATATACCAAAAACTCCAAACTTAACAGAAAAGTATAAACATTGGAAACTACCTTATGTTGTTTTTTATTTTCTTATTTACAAAATGGTAGATAAAAGCCATATTTTAGAATGTCAATAATATATAGATTATAATGATAATCTTTAAATTATTTCATCTGAAAATCTTGTTGTTATTTGGTCAATTTAGATCAGCAAATAATTTTGAGTAAGCAGACAGTAATTTAATTAATTCATTAGCCCAATTATTTTGTAAGCAGTTGGTGAGTATTTAGTCAATTCAATAACCTCACTAGTCTTTGTATAAAGTTGGTAATTGATTGATGCAATGGCTTCAATTAGTTTTTGTTGAGTGGTTAATGGTTTTAGTTAACTCAACAGATACAATAGTTTTTCTATGCATTATGGTATCTGTTAGTGCTACAGTTCTTTGGACTGGCACCGGGGTTTGCAGTGGCTCAAAGCTGAGAAATTTGTAAAGAGCGCCGAGAAGGAAATGGGAAAATGGGTTAGAATACCAAATACTTAATAAGCTAAAAGGCTTTGATATTTATAGGATGCATTGGGACTCAGTGCCTTCAGGATTGTCAGGCCTCATCTGTTCAGGATCTTTACTGATCTTCTGAAATGGCCTCCTTGAGGGTGTTCTCAATGGATAGCATTGCTCACCTGACTGAATGGGTGGAAACACCGCCCCACATGACTCTGGAATAGGGAAGGAGGATCCTGAAATAGAATTAGCTTGGGTAGGTTTAATAACTGATTTTGCACAGCCTGATTTGGAAGAAGGGAATTTGATTTGATTTCTATCTCGAATCCTGACAAGGCCCCCCTCAAGATCCTGTCAGAGGGGGAAATATAGCTGTAGGAATTGACCATGCACCCAATTTACTAGAGTCCCTTAATTGATGTCAGCAATGGAGTACTCATACTTCACCTTATGAATGACTTTATGGGGTCCAGACCAAAGTATGTCAATTTGTTCTGTCAGCCTCCAGGTCAATGATGATAAAAGAGAAAAAGGTCACCTAATTGAAAATCTGGTAAGGAGGTTCATCCAATGTTAGATTGGGATGTCTCTCTTCCAGTGGTGGTAATAATGCCTTGAGTGGCTTAAGCATGAAGATGGACAATTTCATTGACTAGAGCCCTCATAGTTAATTCAGAGTTCTCAGGGGTGGAGGCTTTGAGCAGTGGCTGGACGCTACTTGGTAGCTGAGGTGCCCGTCCATATAGGGCTTTGAATGGGGACATCTTGATGACACAGTGATAGCTTACCCTGTAGGCAAGCAAGGCGCTGGGTAGATAATGGTTCCAACGGGCAGGATCTGAGGCGGCCAACTTCTGTAGGGTGGAAACAAGAGTTCCATTAGCACGTTCTACCACCCTGTTAGTAGATGGGTGGTAGGGGCAGTAAAACTCTGAGTGGTGCCAAATAATGAAGTAAGTTCTTGTACTACCTGGGAGGTGAAGTTCAATACATTGTCTGATAGTAATGTCTGGGGGCACTCGTGCTGGGTGAAAATGGAGCAAACAAGAAAAAGAGCGGTAGCCTTAGCAGTGGCAGCAGGGACTGAGATTGCCTTGACCCACTTAGTTAAGTGGTCTACAGCTAGGATAATATACTTTTGGCCATGTAATCTTGTGGGAAGGGGACCCACCACGTCGATGCTAATGACATTGAAGGGTTTGGTTGGGGAAACAACCGAGTGCTGAAATTGAATGTTGGCTCAGTCTTGGGATCAGCAGGTCATACAAGCTTCCAAAACCTCTTGGATGGTTTCTACCATTCTGTCCCAGTAGCATCATGACTTCAGCCATTCATGAGTCTTTTTAACCACCCCGTGTCCCACAGTAGAATGGCCTTCCAGGATGACATCAGTTTGAGAGGAGGGGTGGATATAGGGGAGCCACTTCTTGTTGACTTTCTTGTAGAATAGCCCAGCCTTAATTTGCATGACTTGAGTCATTTGGCGGAGCTCAGCCTGAACCTCAGGAGTTTCCAGTTCCCATTGTTTGGGCTGTTCTATCAGGTCATAGAGCTGATCTTCCTCAGGGGCCAAAACTTCTAACACCGGCATCCTGGAGAGGTCATCAGCATTCTGGTGTATTGTGCCTGCGCGGTGGATGATGGTGAAATCATAGCTTTGCAGTCGTAGAGCCCATCTGGCTAGCCGACCATTGGGGTTTTTCATTTTGTTGAAGCCACTGGAGCAAGGAGTGGTCTATAATAATAGTAAAATGAGTACTGTAGAGGTAAGGCCAGAAATTTTTGATGGTTAATAGGATGGCTAGACATTCCCTCTTGGTGACGCTGTAGTTCCACTCAGCCTTACTTAGCATCTTACTATAATAAGCCATGGGGTGATTGACCTGGTTCTCATCATGTTGATCCCGAATAGCCCCAATGGCAACGTCGTTCATGTCTGTAACAACAAGAAGGGTTGGTCAAAGCAAGGATGAACTAGAACAGGTTTAGTACATAAGGCTGTACATAAAGCGTTAAAAGCCTGTTCCTGCACAGGCAGCCACTCAAATGGTACATTCTTTTGCAGGAGATAGAACAGCGGCTCAGCTAGGTCAGCAAACTGTGGGATAAACTGATGGTAATAGACCACCATGCCAAGAAAGACTTGAATATCTCATAAGCTTTGGGGGCGTGACATCTTTTCTATAGCATTGACTTTGTTAAGTATAGGTTGGATGCCAAGCTTAGAGAGCTTGTGTCCTAGAAACTCTAGCCCATTCAGGAAGAAAGAGCACTTTGAGAGCTTGAGCTTGATGGAGGCCTTCCTGAGACATTCAAAGACTTCCCTGAGATGCTCTTCATGTCCATTAAAAGTTCACAAAAAATGGTAATGTTTTCCAGGTAGATGAGGATGCATGAGAGCTTCAAGTCCCCAAGGATCCCATCCATGGCACGCTGGAACGTGGTCAGGGCGTTACAGAGGCCTTGGGGCATCCGGGTGGGCTCAAATAGCCCCTCATTAGCGATTAGAGCGCACTTGGCTCAGTCTTTGGGGGCAAGCTCGACCTGCCAATATCCGCTGGCGAGGTCCATGGCCAAGAAGTACTGGGAACTGGCAAGCAGATGGAGAGAATCGTCAATCCAGTGCAGGGGATAACTGTCCTTCTTGGTGATGGAGCTAAGTCATTGATAATCCATCACCACCCGGTGCTTGCCATCC